AAATGTTACTTATTCCGACAATGAACGCATTGTGTGTTTGTAATTTACAATGACGACTGTAAATTAAAGAGGGGGGGGGGAGAGGGGTAAGATTATTGATAGACTGTTTGAGCGGCAAGCTACACCAATTATCCAAATATTTAATACGCCCGAATTGTTAAAAATTCGATTAAAAGGAAATACAGTATTCTGTGACACCTAAATTACCTTTTTAGCAATTATTACGTGGTCGGTCTTCTAGATTTAGAAACAATCACTTAAGTCTACCGGTAATTTATAAAGCCTACCACATATGTTATACCCTAGCATACTAGCTTTTGCAAAAAGACTATTTTTTAAAAATCCATGCCTTTTAACGTTTTAATCCCTCGAACCTTACCCTATTGGTTCATTGCACTTTAGCGTGATATACCGTCGTACTTTAGCGCGACCATCACACTTTAAAGTACCATCGCACTTTATATTTTACATTTATATAAAAATAATATTTTGTTTGATTTTAATTTACTGAAAACAAAACCAATATTAATACCAATAAAAACAATATTCAAAGATCTAATTACAGTGTTGAATTGGTAACCTTTTAGAATAAGTTTATTTAAAGGATCGACAAGTTTACCCGGATCGTTTCTAAATTTCGGGGCTTGATAAACAACATCTCTGAAAAAATTAGGATGTGCTATCTCGTTTGAAATAAGTTTTCTACAGGTACTTTAAAACCAAATCTTTATATCTATGGAACAATTTAGTAAAGGTTTTAAGTAATTTGTGGTAACGAGATCCCTGACTTAATAATTTAACAGTAATACATAGATTGCGTTCATTGAAATCCAAAACGTCATAACAGACACGGGCATAGCGAACGAGTTGTGATATATAAACACTGTAAGATGGTGCCAAAGGAACATCACCGTCCAAAAAAGGAAAATTAACAATAGGGAACAAAAAATCGTCCCTTTTATCGTAAATTTTAGTGTATAGAGTTTCCCGTGTGAAAATCTGGGAAAGGACAGCTTTTACCGTTTATATTTGATTTATTTAAAGTAAGCTCCTTTGGGTAAATTTTGGCACTATGTTTAGAAAATTTTTGATTATTTAACGAAAAAATATCATCAAGATAACGGTAAGTGTTGTTTAATTTATCAATTAAATGCACTTTAGACGGGTCTTAAATGAGTTTGGCCATAAACTGATTCATAACAGTACAATAACAAGTCTGCTATTTAAGTGGTGCAATTGGTGCCCATAGGAATACCTACAACCTTTCTATAAACTTGATTGCCGAAACGTACATAAATATTATCAAGGAGAAAATTAAAAGCTTCAATCATCTCATCACACCTCCAGAAAGTATAAATAGCATATTTACTTTTCTCATTAGAGAAGAAGGCTTTAAATGAGTTGCAACAAATATATTTGCATTCAGATTTACCAAACAACCATTTAATTAAATAGGAAAACTTTTGTTTGATAAGATTGTATGGAAGTGTCGTGCAAAGAGTTGAAAAGTCAAAACTGTCAACAGAATCAAAAGGACCATCGAAAGCACATGATTTATCTAAAACATCCAAAGAATTTTTACACTCCAAAAATGGGTAATTCCACAATTTTCATATATTTTATTACAAAAGTAAATGATAAGTTCTTTGATAGTAGTTAATGAACTAGTTAAAAGCATTGAAAGATTAGTTATAGAACACTTACCAGAGGCCGAGATGAAACGATATTTTACTGGGGTTTTTTTGGTGTAGTTTAGGTAACCAATACATAGTAGGGACCTTCAAATGTTCAGAAGAGGCCTTAAGCTGTGATATGGTTATGATATGTTTGTTTACTATATAACTCTCTGTTGTGCGCACGAACTTGAATGTAGAAGAATTTAAAATTTCATTCTTAAGAACGTCCGTGTAGTATGTATGGCATACCACCACAACATTGTTGGCTGGTTGTCGGCCGGTACAAACACAAACTGCTTTGAAAGTACTTGAAGTTTGTTTCTTATTCTAGAAACGGGCGTATAATGTACTGTTTTATTTATTTGTGTATTAATGCACTTTTCATGATTCATTGGTCAATGTTAAGTATATAATCATTGTAAGGTGTACATGTCTGTCTGGTTTTGTTTTTCGGACCTTGACCTTATTTTCATGGATCATTGATAATATTAACATTATGTAATACTTGTAGTAAAATTATATCTTTAGGACTATCAACATAAAATAAATCATGAAAGCAGGCAACACATTTCAGGGTGTGCACTCTTGTTAACCGGATTTTCGAAATAAAAATCGGTTATTGATTTGGGGATGTACGGCGGACGGGCGGACCGGCGGCTGCCAAACAGTGTCTCTTCAATAACATGAAAACCCCTTGACAAATATTTTTCAAATTTAGAAATGTTGTTTCCTACGACTAAATGAAGGTCAAGTTTAATTTTCACGATTTTAGCTTTTCTCGTTTGTGAGTTATCGCCCTTTTTAATATCCATAAGTGGTATTTTTTTTGTGATTGAGTTATTTTCCTTTGAACAGAACTTGTTAATTATATACATAAAGTTTGATTACACTAACATGTGACTAAGCCTTTATAGATAATTTTCACCTGTTTATATGTCCTGTTATCAGTATACTAAACATATGGTTAATGTCTTATCTTGATTGACAGATTTATTTGAAAATTTTCTGTTTTCTAAGTGTTGATGATTAAAAGCTATATAGGAGTAAATATAGTTAGAAATTTACAGTTCATTATTAGACATTTTGAAGATAATTACAGATAAGTTTTATCGATTTTTAAAAGACATTGTATTAATGATAAATAACAATTTTTCTTTTCTTTGGTAAATTGTAAATTGTTTGTTTTTCTGTAAAAACTAATTTTCTGAATGCTATATATATTTTTTTTATTAGGTGAACTCTTTTCAAAACTTAGCTTATATTGTCTATTAATAAACATATATTTAGATTTCTGATTTTGAGCCCAGTTTTCATTTGATTTCAACATAAATTGAATATATATAGGGTTCTTTAAAATGCTAAACTAAACCTGTATTTATTTTCATGATTAGTAAGATAATACCACATCGAGGTACAAAGGGTCCTAAATTAAACTTTTGTTTAATCAACAATTGAATCCTCGGTTCTTTGGTATGCTGATTTTAACAATGTTTGAGTGTTAAATCATATCTAATTTTAGAGAACTTAGTCATCACTGGTTGTTGTTATTATATTAATGATTATAATTTGAAAAATTACATCATATCTAATTTTACAGAACTTAGTCATCACTTCACTGGTTTATTGATTATAATCATATCTAGTTTGAGTTATTTCCCTTTGTAGAGAAAATATATGGATAAAATTAAATTGTGTTTTATTTCAACTTAAATTAAATATATATAGGGTTCTTTCAAATGCTGAATCTAAACCTGTATTTAAATATTAGATTTTTGGGCCCAGTTTTCAAGTTGGTCCAAATCAGGGCCTAAAATTCAACTTTGTTTGATTCACAAAAATTGAATTTATGTGGTTCCTTGTAAAGCTGAATCTTACCATGTATTGAGAGATTTTGGATTGTGAGCTCCTTTATCAAATTGGTCCACATTGTGGTCCAAAGGGTCCTAAATTAAACTTTTGTTTGATTTCATCAAAAATTGAATTTTTGGAGTTCTTTGATATGCTGATTCTGACAATGTAATTTGGATTTTGGATATTGGACCATAATAGGTAAATGTCCAATTTCAAATATTTCAGTTCTTTGACCACATTCATTTTGTGTCACAAACCTATGCTGTGGCAAATATTCAACCAAAACCCAAATTCAGAGCGGTTTTAAGCTTAACTGTAGTCTCCATACTTGCTCAACTGTTTAGGATTCGACATCTGCAGGAAAATCGGGTTTGCTGTCACTCCTTCAGCCTCTTGTTTTTAATAATTTCTTAATTTATCATTGATTATTTAAATTGCAAAAAAGTATGTTATAAATCATGTCAGTTCCAAAACCAGACTACTGAGCTGATGGTACCCTCTGGAACCAACAGTCCATTAGCAGTGGTATTGACCCAGTGCTAGAAAAAATATCTGCAATTTTCAGACCTGCCAGATAGTCACCCTCTGTTTAATGATACTTGGAAATTTACAAAAATATCCACAAAGTATGGAATTTTCGGTCAATGTCTAATAAAAGTTTGAGTTGCATGACAGGGTATGCAACTTATTTTGGGGGTACTATCACCAAAAGATTATTATCATCATTATTTTGTGTTTGTGTTTAATGTCGGGCTGTCTCTGTGTGTAGAAAGAAGACATAGGGAAAATGTTAAAGAGACAGCCACAAAACAAAACATTAAAACGAAAAAACAAAAAACTCTTTAGGTCAACATAGGTTCTTTAGCAATACAATTTGAATTTAATTAATGCAAGTACTGTGTAGCATCGGATATCAATCCCATTTTTAGCTCAAGTTTGGTATCCCGAGTTTTTAAAATGTTGTTCTTCTTTTCCTCTTTTTTTTCTCTTGTCCATATCAATGTATCTGCCTTACTTTTGTATTAACAAATTGCTTCTATTAATATTTTTTTTAATGCCTATAGTCTCTTCTGGTTTACAATACATTTCTTGCAATTAAATAACAACAGTAATTTAGGAGTAAACAATAAACAAACTTTAATTTGATGTAGTGATTGATTGATTTGTATTGAACATCACGTTCTGCACTATTGTGCTATTTTGTGGTGGTCAGTTTTTATTGGCAGAGGAGGACAGTTGGAAAACTGACAATCCTAGTCACTTAAGATTGGAGTCGTGCCATGTGTGATTCGAACTCACAACAGTGTTGACAACTTTAATTTGAAGTATAATACTGTAAACATAGTTTTACTTTAACAACATTCTATGATCTTCTGTGAAAGTAGAAATGTTTTCTTCTTATTAATTTTTTTTATCAGAGTACAAATTAAATTTTGATTTTCGCCAATCAGACAAAAAGACAGAAACTAAATGTTCTAGTATTGTACAACATTATTCATTTTAATTAAGTAGTTTCTATTGTTTTATTTGGCATAGTGGTATAAAATAAATTACATAGCTAAAGCCTGAAAGTGAGGCATAAGTATACTGTAAACTCAGAATTTAATGCTTGCCTTCAGTTTTTTGAACAACTGAGAGTAATATAAAAATACACATCCTATCGGTAAAGCAGATACAATAGGTTTAACAGATCAACATCTGCTGTACATGATAGCAATAACTATTGTTTAAAATTGCAATTGACAGCATAGGTCCTATTGTATCTTTCATAGTTATAGCTGGAAATATTGTGTGAAATTAGGAAATGAGCAATGTTAAAGAAAAGAGGCGAAAGATACCAAGAGGACATTTAAACTGATAAGTCGAAAGTAAACTGACAACGCCATATCAAGAAAAGAAAAAACCCTAAAGACAAACAACAGTACACAAAACAAAACATAGAAAACAAAGACTGAGCAACACGAACCCTACTAAAAATAAAACTGTTATCACAGAGTTATGTCTCGCCTTTTTGTAATTTTGATTATGCAAATGTTGAAATTAAAATAGCAATATTTTAACATGTAAGTTATGCAAATATTCAAAGTCAATGAACCATGACTGAGGTACATGGCTAAACAATCTCCATGGAAATGAGATTTGCCAATGCTAATACAACTACATACCAAATACCATTGACTTATTATAAGTCGTTCCCTTTAAACAAACCTAATCACAAACATTAACTTGTACACTATGTAAAAGTTTCAAAGTCAATAAACCATGAAGAGGGGATGGGGCTATATAATCTCCATAGAAACGATACTTGCAAATGCCAATAAATTTGCATACCAAATATCATTGACTTAACATCAGCTGTTCATCTTAAACTGATTTAATTAGAAACTTATACATGTAAACTAAACAAAAGTTTCAAAGTAAATAGGACATGGCTGAGGGGGCAGGGCCAAATATTCTCCATGGAAAAGAGATGTGCTAATGCTTATACAACTGAACACCAATTAACATTGGCCTACCACTAGTGGTTCCCCATAAACTGACCTAATCACAAACTAATAAATGTAAACTAAACAAAAGTTTCAAAGTAAATAGGACATAACTGAGGGGGCAGGGCCAAATATTCTCCATGGAAATGAGATTTGACTATGCTAATACAACTGCATACCAAATATGATTGACCTACCACTAGTGGTTCCCCATTAACTGACCTTATCACAAACTAATAAATGTAAACTAAGCAAAAGTTTCAAAAGTCAATAGACCATGACTGAAGGGGCAGGGCCAAATAATCTCCATGGAAATGAGATTTACCTATGCTAATACAACTGCATACCAAATATAAATAAAGGCAACAGTAGTATACCGCTGTTCGAAATTCATAAATCGATTGAGAAAAAAACAAATCCGGGTTACAAATTTAAACTGAGGGAAACACATCAAAAATAAGAGGAGAACTACAACACAACAGAAACAGAAACACAATATTAAAATGTAACACACAGAGAAACGAACTATAATATAACAATGGCCATTTTCCTGACTTGGTACAGGACATTTTAAGAAAAAAATGGTGGGTTGATCCTGGTTTTGTGGCTAGCCAAACCTCCCGCTTTTATGGCAATGTTAAATATAACATTAAAATGACAACATTACATGACAGGACTACAATACAAATAAATGGGAGAACATACAGGACAGAGAAACATACGAATAATAGCTAACAAAAATTTAATCCGAAAGACGCGCGCTTCGTCCACACAAGACTAACCAGTGACGCTCAGATCCAAAAAGTTCAAAATCCAAAACAAGTACAAAGTTGAAGAGCATTGAGGACCAAAAGTTCCAAAATGTTGTGCCAAATACGGCTAAGGTATATGTCTGGGATAAGAAAATCCTTAGTATTTAGAATAAATCATTCTTTTGCAAACAGTAAATTTATTAAATTGACCTTGCACTTGTGGTTCACCATAAACTAGACCTAATCACAAACTAATACATTGTTGACGCCGCCGACGCCGGAAACATCATATCTCTGTTTCACATTTTGACTCCGTCAAGGCGAGACAACCAGGGGTTATTCCAGGTGCTTTCCAAAATTCATTGCACACAAATTATTCAGTAATGTTGGGAAAAATGACTGCTAATCAAATTTCTGATTAGCATTAATATGTTCCTATTGACTGTAACAAAGGACTTTAAAAATACACATCTATCTGAAAAACAAATAATGCTGCAAAATTTAGATAACCCAAGCATCGCAAAAATAGTTTCCTGATTTAATAGGTGGTCTTTATTGAGTAGTAATAACACCAGATGTCATTTTGCTTTGCTAGTTGGGTGTTTAATTCTATTTTTAGCAACCTATGCTGTATCATGGCTATTCATTTTTATTAGTGGAGGAAGCCAGAGTAGTAACAAGAGAACAACTGACTTATTAATTGATTTTGGCCTGGATCTTGCCTGATAAAGGTTGTTTCAGAAGTGTGGGTGGTGCAGAATGAAGTTAGTGCATTTATTATAGAAATCCAATAGTCAACAAAACAAAAAGAAAATATTACCAGTATATAATATTAAATACATACTACAAACAATACAGAAGTGGCATTAGTTTATCATAATAAAGCAAGGGCTGCAACCTTTACAAGAACAATTTACCTATATATGAACCAAATAATACAATAGTGGCAACATTTTTTTTTAACTAAATGAGGGGTGCCACCTTTACAACAAAATAAACATGTGTACACCTGACTTCTATAATTAACATAATCTAGCCTGGAATCCTGGTTTACTGCTGGCCAATAGAGCAAGTAAGAAAAGAGCCACATGTTTAGGTTCATTAGTCGGCTTCAATTCCTGACGTATGTTCGGAGTACGTAGCCTGACACAAAAGAAAAAAAATCATTTTTAAAGTTTTAGTTTAATACCATTATATAAATAAGACATATCTGAGAGGGTGGTAGAGCAGATTGTTACCCCAAGAAAACATTATCAATCAGGGCGAAGCCAAGGTTGACAATATTTTTTCCAGTGGAACCAAATTGCTCTGTCACCCTCTCAGCTATGTGTTATTTAATCTATTATAGTAAATGCTCTCTCATTGATGTCTTTTACTGTTAAGTTTTAAATTAATGTCACATACATAACGTTACAGTTATTAGAAAAACAACAAAAGTGATGTAAGATATTTTTTTTTATTTTGACAGTCTATGAAAAAGTTCTGAGGCAAAAACGTAGAACTTTAACATTGTCTTTAATTTATTGATGTTAATTCAATTCATTGTCCTTTAATTTATCGATTTTTAATTGGTCTGCACGAGAGGGTGACATTTAAAATATTATCTCCCGCTGAACCATGGGATGGAGTAAATTATCTCCCTCGTATTAGCCAATGAAAATTTGGCATTTTAACTTGAAGTATAATATTTTTTTTAAGTGCATCTACATGTATCAAACATCTTTATTGATTTTTACAATAGGACGACATGGCTTTTCTCACATCTGGTTCTACCAGATACATGTAAAACATATTATGTCTCTAGTTCTAGTGACACAAAGCAGAGATCTGGACAGGATGCCAGGCTAGCATTTATCCATTCTAAACTTAATTTGTTTTTTATGTTTCATATAAATCAATTTAATGCCATCAATAATACAAAAATGTCTGTCTAAACTGAACCGAAGATTTTGTTTGAATAGTTTCAAACTTCCGACTTTGTTTCCAATTTTTAAAAAAATTGCAAAGGGAGATTACACCTTGATAAGACAAACTGTATCCCTGTTTAACCAAAGCAAGTGTAAGAGCATGGTAAATTGTACCAGATCTGACAATGATTTTTTTAAGTACATTAAACATTTACGGAAAGAATTGCAAAATAGTAAAGGGTGTTGATTATGGTGTTTTAAAAAAGTGTTTCAGTTTACACATGTCAGATTACTTAAGAATAAGAAATGATTGTCTTAATACAAAAGTTCACTTTAGTCAGATTTTAGATCGGCTTTAAACAGAGTCCATATTATACAGGTTACACTGTAGTTGTATATCTACTGCTGTATATAGATTTCTTTAGTTTGTTGAAAAATATGAATAAATCGTATTGTGTGACTAGTTTTTAATAAATTGAGTATATATCTTGTAATGAGTATCTAACATCAGTATCATAAAAATAAACCAAAAATAATTAACAAAATATATCTCTATGATAATAACAAATTTGAAATAATATATTAAATAAACTTTAAAAAAAAAATAGTTTTATGGCACATAAATTAAAGAAATCTAAAAAAGATATCTAATTCCTAAGTAGAAAAAAAATATATATGAACTACCTAAGAAGGTTAAGAAAAGTTCGCTAAAAGAATAAAAGTGTACCTGAATATTTTTAGCAACATTTATTGATGATTATATTGTTGTGGATATATTACAAATAATTTGAAAGTAAAGTTCCTTAAATCAATTCTAACATTTTAACTATGATGTCAATATATCTGTTTTTAAAGAGCCTTCATTAAAATCTTTGTCATGTTGAAATGAAAGAAAAGTTCCTTCATAATCTAAGTTCCAAGTGGAAAAAAAAATCTGTATTATTATTTCTACTATAGCAAATATAACAGTATTTGTTCCAAACGGAATAAAGGGTATAGAATATTTGTTCCAACAGGAACAGATATTATGGCATTGTTTATAACAAAGTTTCCAGGGGAACTTCTGCTAGGCAGAACAAATATACATTGACAATGTGATCCTATATAAAATCCATCTCTGTGGGGTCTTTGTTTTTTAGCACTAAACATTTAGTTTATTCAGACTCGCACACAAGATAAAATTGAGACAAATATTTGTTTTACTAAAGCAAGCTTCATTTCTTAACATCTGCGATTAAATCCAATTTTAAAATAACAGTATGGATCTGTGGTATCTGTAGATGCCACTAGCGACTGTGATTACAATGACACAACACAATAGCAAACATTTTGTGCATGTTTTAAGAGTTTTTATTTCTGTCAATTAACTTATTAACAGCTTCATTAATGCATTTAACTAATGAATAAATAGTTTGAAGAGATAATAAGAAATAACTAATTATACAAAATTAAGTCAACCAAGGAGAATGAATGTCTGAAAAAGGGAAATAACTCATCGAATGAAAATCTACTACACTGAAATGTGAATTATGGTCACTATTACAAAATTGCAAAATAAGAAAAAATATACTAGCATTGATTTATGTTGGAAATGTAAATTTCAGATGATTAAATGGCAAGATATAGACTTTATGTGGTTTATACTAGATATTTTATGAATTAACTGTCCATCTGTAATTTTTTTCAATGAATTATCTGATTTGAGTATAAATATTTTTGAAAGGAAAAACCAAGTTAAAATCATTGTTAAAATAGTTTAACAAATCATGCCTACCTATGTACATAAACACCAATAACTACATGTATATATTTTACATTCTATCATATATTTAGAAATAATATCTAACAATTGTTCAATAACATTGCAAAATTTGATTACAAATCTAAGAATACAGCCAAAAGGGCTGAAAACTTACAAAATCAATTCCAAAATAACAGCCAAAAGGGATATTGGGTTAAAAATATCATTCTAACAAATATATCACACACTGTACAATAAAACATATCACAAACTGCTATAACATTATGTATAATTTAGCTAGGGTGACCAACAAAAACATTTTAACATGCAACTAATGCTGGGATAGACAAAAGCCTCCTTTTAACTAAGCAACTTGTAACTCTATTCTACTATTGCACTATTTTCTGTTTATCTTTTCCTATAGATAGTTTTCCATTGTTGTAAATTGAATTAAGAGTTATTTCTTTTTGTTGATATGCTAGAGGGCAAAATTCCGCATAGATCAACTCTAAAAAAAAAGGGGGGGCATACTTTTGCTGACCTTAAGATCCAACACTATGAAAATCAATGGAAACTATCTGTTTCAAGCATTTTTCCCCACATGCCACTTCATCTTCTATATTTCCTCATTTCATGTTGGACAATATCATAGTTAGTCTATTTGTCTGTGGAACATGAATAACTATGGATTAATCTATTTACATCAATTTTCAGGGTTTTAGAAAAATTCGCTATTTCAATGTTAGCTAATTTCAGGGTTTCATCATTTGTAACATTCAAAAGTCATTAAAACATTTGATATTATTGAGAATTAAATTGGTAATTTCACTGTGCCAAAGAAATTTATGAAAATGGGCATCCAACCAATAATAATGAATATAATGAAAAACATAAATGTATTTCTGATTAATTTTAGTAATACAAATTTCTGTTTTTTTTGAACATTTGAACTTCACCCTGTCTATATTACTTTTTGAAAGAGGATGGTGTAGTCCACATAACCTTCAGTTTCAAAAATCATTCCCTGCAAATTCAGAAACTAATGCAAAAATGGTACAGTTTCAGGTTGCAATAATAAAATCTTGCATTCATAATTTCATGAGTGATTTTCCTTCATAAAACTTGTGTATTCTCATTAATTAGATTTTGAAAGTGGTCAAGGATTCACAATAATAAATGGACACAGTAATTTCTGAATTAACAGTATTCATTATCAGAGTTGTGTCCTTTATTTTTAAATGAGAAAATATTTCAACACCATTTCAATGCATTAGAAAAATATACATAATATTTGTTACTATAAACGCCCTTTGTTAAAACCAGACATGGAGAAATAACTCTATAGAATAATGGAATGTGGGAATAATCATGCACTGTTTAAGTATCACCACTTCACTTTTCTTCTCAGATTAAAAACATGTTTACAAATAAATATCTATTGTACACAATATTTGCGTTTTTATATACCCTGTTTGATAATTACCTATATAAGGCCATTATCCTACTTTTCTCAGGACTATTCTTCAAATTCGGACGAGACAGGCGACCCTCTTTATTATAAATTCCTGACAAAAACTAAATCTGATATTAATGGAAGAAATAACTTATTCTCAGGCTTCAGTAATTTTCTGCAATAGGAAATCTGGTTCCCTGCCCTGCATACTATTATTCAGCTTCTATAAATAAATGTAATCTTTTAATAGTAGAACCTTTTTTATAGTTTTGCTATTCATTTCAGAATTCAAAATTGTTTGCATCTTTTGTGGAATTCGGAAAAAGTTAAGTAAAATTCTAACAACAAGAAAACAAGTTCTTTATGTCTTCTTTGTGTTGATAGATTGCTGTCTCCTTGACATATATCCTGTTTCTCATTTTGCTGTCTCACATGGAAACACCCTACATCTCGTTTTGTCCATATATTCACAGTACATGTGTATACTACTCTCAAATTAATGAATGAATGAAAAGAGTTGTATGATATACATCAATGAGACAGCAATCCATCAACACAAACTCAAATAAAAACATGTAGACATGGACAGTCTTAAACAACAGGCAAGTGTCTAAATGTATGTAAAGTTCTAAACAATCTAAAAAGTTGTACTCATTGTAATGTGTTTTCAAATTATCTGCATATATCAACCTATAGTTTTTTTTAACTTAACAATAAAAGTATTGACCAAAATGATTTTTTTTCTTATTTTTAGTGAAAAAAAATACAAAAAGCATGTGTTTCAGTCAACATTACACATGTTATTCGAACTGCAAAAAATCACATAAAATTCATAACCGAAAACCTATGTCTAAATTGACAGTAAACCAATTTTCTGATAATGAGATTCACATGATTTATTTTCCATGCATTCAAAACTAATTGCTTATTAAAATGCATCTTAAATTCATGCAAGTTATTTGTGGAGCTAACTTCTTCCTAAATAGGTAAAAATATTTAATGTACGTTTTTTGTCACAGGTTAATTGATCTCGATCAACAATAATCTTATAATATCACTATGGGTAAAATTTTACATGAGACAGTTATAATAAGGCACATTTTAACTAGTGCTACTATTGGAGGTTGGGAAATTCATAAACATATTAAGTAGGGAGAATTTGGACAAACAAATCTCTGAGGTGTTAGAGCTAGGACAAGCTACAATTGGAGTTAAAAAGAAAATTTGGACAAATGAAATCTCTAAGGTGCGAGAACTGGAACTAGCTACAATCAGAGTTGGGAGAGTTATCACTAGAACAAGAGCTATATTTTGCTTTATGTTGTTGTAAAAATTCATCTGGAACAATCCTGTTTTTTTACTGCTTATGTTTACCTCTTCTCTCATGAATCGTTCTAACTTGTCCACACAGGCATCCTGATATTCATGTATCCATCTGAAAGAAGAAGATTTATCTCCAGCCGTTAAGTATGATAAATCAAGCTTTACCTGTTCCACAATATAAAATACTACCAGAAAGGAACAACAAACAAAAAGATAAATAGGTAGCTCTTTTTCTATTCTAAAGTTTTGCAGTTTTGTTAAAAGAAATGAATAAAAATGAGAAAGTCAATATAAACCCTTAGACTGCTACGCGCGACTATTGTCGTTCCGATAAAGCAGTCCGCTTCTTTCTTTTGATAATCACAATTGAACTAGTTGATAAAAGCGATTTTCAACAAGATTGGTCAACTATTCTGCAGTCACGGATACGTTCGTAAAATTTTTACATTGATCATGTTGATGGATTCGTTGATAAAAATAAAATTAAAAAAAAATACTTTTGTTTACCTCTATTAGCACCTGTACAGGTAAAAAATTACAAAAGACACAAAAAAAAATAAAAGAAATACATAATACAGATTTTGACAATACTTTTTTATATAACTTTTATTGATGAAAACTCAATATTTACAAAGATATAGCAATTATAAATCAACATGTTTATTTCAGCAGTGATTAATTATTTATTCAGCAATACACAAAAGTACAATATAAATGAATGCAGCAGTCTAAGGGCTAAGTTTGATTTTCAAATTTTTTCCATGACATTGCTGCTAATAACCTATGATATAAGTTTCATAAAAATCTGGCAAGAATTGTACACGAGAGAGGGTAAAAATGCAATTTCCCATACAATCAATATTTCCAAGGTGCATAACTTTTATAAAAATCGTTGATCAGCACTGATTTCAAACTTGTCCCAAACAATCCTATCGATATACACCTATGATATAAGTTTATAGAAAATCTGGCAAGAAATGTACACGTGAGAGCACTAACAAGAACGGATTGGTGGACAGACGAACGAGCGTCTAACGGGGGACAAAAATTTCTTTAAGGCAATATTAGAATTAAATATCTATAGATATGAAAAATATTTTTTATTGCCAAACAGGGTGAAGTGTTAATGATAGCTAAATAAGAGGCACATCTAAAACTTGTTTCACTCACCTAGAAAAAAAGTGCCAGTCTGCAAATTTAAATGAGGACTTTAATTGCACTAACAAGTTATCCAATAAATTGGTATTAAAGAAACCTTTGATGTTTAAAATTATCACACTTTATACTTTTATACTAAGATACTAGAAAATCTTCTTACTTTATACCATTAAAGAATGTGATCTGTTTCATATCTTCAGGTAGCTGGTCACCTAATGGCCACTTGAAGTTGTCCATAATGGGTATAATATTACACTGACTTTCTAATGCTGCTACTATTTCCTGGAAAATAGTTAACAATACATATAAACAATCTTCAGGATCTTCAGGATAAACAGTAAATAATTCTATCATTTACATTATTACATGATAAAAGACATCTATGTACAGGAGGAACTTACAGCATAACACTACATCCGGAACCAAAGCAAATACACTTATTTTATCATTTTTTTCTCCTGTCCAGCAATTCTTTTGATATTGAAACGGCTTTTCTTGTCAAATACTCACACAGTTACCAGTCATGCCAGTATTATGCATCTTATAAATTATAAAACCATTGGAGTTACATTTAAATAACTGTTATTCTACTATTTCTAGGACCTCTGCATTTCAATCCAGGTAAAAATCCATAAATGAATGTCACAGGTAAAATTATAAACAAAGTCTCACTTCAAATCGCTTGACCTACAAGATGACGGATAACCAGGGAATTATCATAATCATGTGACGTCAGTGAAAACTATGTACTCGTTCATTTTAAACCATAAGAGAATTAATTTATTTATTTTCAACACTTAATAAAAATAAAATTATAGTTCAACAATCAACATTATCTTGATTATAAGAATGAAATAGCAATGAAAAAACAAACTTGTTCATTCAGATTTACACATAAACTAGGTAATCTGTCGGTCGCAAGCATTAAAGACACAAAACAGATTAGGACTCTCAAAATATATTACTGTAATGCACTCAAAATGTTGCACGCGATTTAAAAACTAAAACTAAATTACCCTGTGAACCCAGTCATTTTTGTCTTTATCTCCTACACATCTATCAAGGGCATTTGGTGTCAGTACCAGTATAAAGTTACGTGAGGACCTCACACTGCTCAATAACCCCTCACCAAATTTACCAGCATTTAATTTCTCTATGTCTAAAAATACTGTAAATCCCCTCAACTGCAGAAATACTTTCAATAAACTGAAAATAAAAATATTCTTTAATAAATGGTAGGCATTCTGTATTTATAATAAATAACTTAGAATATAAAGTATAATTTAGCACTTTTAAACATTAGTTATCTCTGTATTTGAAGTCCAATAATATTTGTTAAGGATGGTTTATCTGTCAGCATTTTCTAATGTAAAATGTTATTCATTACTATTTCTGACTACTGTAATGCTTAATAAAGATACAAGAGTTATCTTTCTTTTTAAAATGATGCCACTTGAAAAAAAAAAACATGACTAACCATGAAATAACATATAATCAATCGCTAAACAAATTATAAACAGTTCTAAATATACAATATATGTACATTGTCGGAAAATATAAAATTCATTTGTACAAGCTTTAGAAACAGGACAAAAAGCGAGGCTTGCGGAGATTTTCTCCTGTTTTGTAACGAGCACAAATAAATTATACATTTCTGACAATGTACATATTTTGCTTTTATCCTAAAATTTACACTCGGCACTTGAAGCTTTCATTGTTCAAATTCAAATAGTTGTCTCTGATTTTTAAAAGAAATCGACATAGTTCAGACGCGGGCAACAGGGAGGACCCCAAAATGAACTGTTACGTAAAAAGAAATTTCACATTACCGCTTGCTCAACATAGAAGTGGGGTAACATGAGACTTTACTTGTACAAGTACAAATAAAGCAAAACATTATTTGTGTACCTGTTATTTGTACAATAGTTGGCTGGATGCAGGATAAAGAATTGTATGTCAATGTAATATAAATGCCTCTGACATGTCTGAGATTAAAAATAATGTGTTAAAAGAGAGCACAAATCCCTCCCCTGTATGTGACACAAAAATGATATATATTAGTCATCATTTTCTAACTACATGCCATGTTTGAAGACGTTATATTGTTTTTGCCAATAAAGATATAAATGACCTTCTGTTACTTATTAACTTTCTGTAATGTCCATCAGATTTCTGAATTCCTTTACTAACAACAAAATCACTTTACCTTGCCAACATTGATCCATTTACCCTTCTATAACTTATAAAAACATCTGTCACCTTACGTCCATCAATAATATCTCCAGCGTCACCTTCCGTCTTTTGTTCCTCTAAAACTGTATATAAAAACATCTTAATTAAATTGTTGACGCATATAATTTGCTATTCATCTAGATCTGTTAAGAAGATCTGGTACACCATCTTATAATGATATGCATAATTTAGCATACTTGTGTTCCCAACAATATAACTGTTTGTTTGCATAATACTCAATTTTTTTTTACCTGGGTCATCAATCCAGTGAATTAGTTGCATTGCATGATGGACTACTAAATGTTCACAATTTACCAAAAACACCTTTTTTTACTGATATACATCATAATTATTTTTAATGATAGATGTGATTATAAAATTTAATAAGGGCTGTTCCAGAATTAAACGCATGAGCGCATGGGCTGCAGTTGAAGACCCTGGCCACCAATGAAACAAGACCAACACCGGTCTGGACCTGCGTCGCTGCATGCAATTGATTGAGGTTACATGTCTACTGAAGCATAACGGATCACTGTCCCTTTCATTAAAGACAAAAAAAAAAATGTGACAAAAAAGTTTTTTCTACAATGAGTGTTGTAAAATTTCAAACATTCCGCAAACAGGAAATTGCTGCAAGCGGATTTAACTGAACATAATCGAGCTGCAAATAAAAAAATAAAATCATTCCCTTCAGTACGAGCCAAGAAAAGTTTGCGGAAAATTTTTCCTGTAAGTAATGAGTGCTGTAAATTTCAAACTATTGGCAAACAGGAAGAGGCTGGACAGTGGATGTAAAAGTTGCTTAATCGTTACAACTCAACATTATAAAGCTGCAGACTAAATATTAAATCATTCCCTTCAATAGGAGGCAAGAAACGTTTGACGAATATTTTTCTCATACAATGAGTGTTGTAAAATTACAAACTATCGGAAAACAGGAAGTGAATGGGTTACTGATGTAATAATTATTTCGATTCTAATAGGACAATTACGGTAATTTTGTAAACCGTGAAAGCCCAATACACATGATACTGTTTAGCTGTTCCGTATTACCCCTCGTATTTAAAAACAGAATTTTCATTATTTTGTGCTTGAATATTGTATTGAGTGTGCACATTCATCTGAAATAGAAAAGGAATAGTTATTTAGGCTTCATCAACACAACAATGTTTGAAAGAACACTCATTTAATACTAATAAGAAATAAACGCTTGTGACCTAATTCAAACATAAAATCAATTGTGTAGTCAAGAATCCGGGTCCGTTCGCCATAGTAGCTGTTCGCCCTAATACCTGTTTGCCCAGGGTCCATTCGCCCTGATTTTTATTTTATTCAATTGTTGACTAGTCTCATAATGTTTATTATTTGAACAGAGTACGTCAAACTTTGTTGAAAAATTCGCCGAATATTGGTCTTGCTGCAACCAAATAATTATTTTCCTTTGATTTGCATAGTAGAATACTGGAATATAATGTTTTTATCGTTATTGATATTTGTTAACAATTTTAATAATTCTAGTCAGTCAATTTATGCAGTATAATAATAAATGAACTTGTAAATCCTTTTTAATGTTACAATATTAGGTCAATGTCAGAAAAATATAGTTTTTTTTTGTATGAGGCTGAGAAACTGGGGAGGTTTTACCGAGCCCTTCACAGTTTTGTGCCGAATACAAAAAAATATATATTTTTATGACATTGACCTACTATTGTTCTTATACTTCAACTTAAATAAATCCTTTGATAGCTATTTAAATTGTAACACAAATTTCAAACTTATTTTCATCCCTTAATAAACCCCTGATTGTGGAAAAAGTGTTCCATGATGAAATTGACATTGCACAAACTATAGGTATTACTATATTTAGGAAATAAACACAACTAGTTGCAGTATAAATCATTGTTTTTACACATTCAAAGCTGACTATGTTGTTGCTTTCACGTTCTACAGACGTTTTGTACATCCATACCAAATATAACAAAATAATAATGAAGTCCCCATCAATTTATTGATTAACAATATTTTACAAATTAATTTCATTTTTGTTTGTAATCGAATAGAAAGTATGTCGTTTAAAGGGGGCGTAAAGCGGAACAGCCAATTTTGTGCATTAATGCGTTTGCGCTAAAGGTAGATATACTTTGATTATACTGGTTGGCGATAATAGGTCGTCATCTTAGAATTGCTTACTCACTACAATTAAACATTACGAAGCTGCAGACCAAATATTAAAACATTCCCCTTGATAGAAACCAAGAAAACTTTTCTACCCAAGGTCTTTTGGAAGGACTGATGAACGGACTGACGGAGGTTAGCCTTTACTAGATTTTCTTTCCCCTTTGGTGATGCAGGATAAAAATTTCATTTTACTAATTCTTTCATAATTCTTAGAAAAATGCATCCACCAACATTCAATTAATCTGAGTGCCCCCCATCCGTCACCCAATAAATTTTGGAACAGCCCTAAAAGGAAGATTGCCAAAAAGTATTCCAAAGTCTTTGCCCAGTAACTTACTGGCTGTGCAACCCTGTGAAATTGATATAACATAGAGTCCTTAATATTTGTGGATTACACATTTTCTTGGTCTTCATGGATAGAAACCACAAATTGAACTACTCAACGAAATAAAAAAAATGGTTACTTTTATTGCAGCAATAATGACACCAAAGAATTAAGTACCCTCGAAATAGCACATTCTTCTCCAACAATGACAACTGATATAAATGAGAAAAAAAAGTTATCCACAATATAGTAGAAAGGGAAAAGTGATCTTTGTTGTACATTTTGTAATAATAATTTGTTGAAAGAGTCATTAATGTGGGGAAAATTCATTAAATCTGTATTTCTTAATTTATTTACAAGACAGTTGTTCCATGCATGCATTAACCTGCATTCTTTGTAATAAAAGGTAAAAATTAAATAGTTCAACTTTGACCCTTGTATCATCAAGACGTATAAAGCCCTATTGCCATACCTCTTATTTTCTGTAATATTTTACTCCTATGTATACCACTAGAGATACCACAATCATTGGTGAGCTGCTCTTCGGTGAGGTACGGTAGATAAAGCATATCTACACCGGCCTGTAACATGGAGTATGTGTATTGACTGAACTCTGACCCTAACTCCATCAAAAAATCATCCAGTTTGGTCGGATCTGAAGACGCATAGTCTGCTGTTATTTTGAGTCTTTTTAATTCTCTCATGAATCTGTCAAAATATAGTACAGACTTTTTTCAAACAAAAATTGTTTATAAATAGCTAATGACACAAAATCCCTACACACACTTGACAAAATTCAAACCAATTGTATTTTTTTTTAACTTGTTCAGGACTGTGTTTTTTTTTATCCCAATAATATATAACAACGTAGTGTTCCTGGACTGATTTTTAATTTCCTCTTTATTTTTTGTAACCATTTTCTGTTAATGTGAATAATACCTTATTAATACGTGGCCATTATTTGTTAATACGAATAACACCTAATAAATAAGTGGGCATTTTCTGTCATGTCTGCTAATGAAACAATAATATACCTTTTGTGTGCTATTCTACATTTCATATGCAGACTGCCTGACAAGTCCCCTTCTGTTAATGTTAACAGCAGGTCACCATCTCCTTTACATCTCTCAAAATTAACAGCAAATTCCTCAAATCCATTCTGTAGATTAAAATTTAAGTGTTAATAAATTTGATATTAACAAAAAGAACAGGACAGACGGACGGGTCAAAAACATTATACCCTACGCAACTTTGTTGCGATGTGTATAATAAAAGTAGACATAGTGCCGGGGCGGATTCATTTATAAATCATGTAAATGAACATGAATCATACACCATGTCTGCCTACTGGGGAAAGCTTCTTTTCTTCTCTTTCGTTACACATTGTCTGCCCCCTTGCCGTCATTAACTCAAAAGCTCAAAAGCATTTACAATCGTTTATGTTGCGTCCTGAGCACATTTGTAAGAGTGTTTTATTACAACAAAAGCTGGATTGATTTTAGCAGTAAATTGAACTCATTTTTTTTCTAAAATTGTTTGTTAATTGACCGACAGATACAGTCTGTCCAACCTGAAAGAATTCTGACTTTTGGTCCAACTTCTTTGCACAGATACAAGACGAGGTTTTGTTAATATATGTATATATACTGAAAACACTATTCATTATATATACAAATATTTAAAAAATCTCGTCTTGTACCTGTGCAAAGAAGTTGAGCAGAATGCGTCAACTTAGTATTTTTTCGTCTATAAGGCCATCATGATGTTCTTCAAAAAGATTCATCATATCGTAATTATCCGGAATCGATGTCATTATATTTGCTCCAGCAAAAAAGAAAATATGCTATTTTGCTGGCACCAGCAATATAGTGAATTTGTTATTTTGCCAGTTCTTTGTGAAGAGTGAAATTTAATATTTACTTTTGAAAAGTACTACGAAAATGTACACTGTCAACATAAAAGAATCAAATAATTACTGATATACTGGTAGTTAAATAAGAAAATGGCTAACAATATTTGAAATACATATAATTGTTTAAAAACATTTATCAGTCAAAGTGAAAATAAGAATTTATAAAACGAAGTAAAACTAAATATTGAGCATATATTTGTTGCAATGAAATCATATGAAAACATGTAGTTAAAATTATTTCTAAATTCAGTCACAGTTTAAATTATAATGTTACATGTATGCATAAGAATAAAATCTCAGATTTTTTAACTGTATGTCATAAATAAATGGGGAATGTGTCCATGGGACACAGATTATGCCCCCGCTTGCATATCATATAAAGTTATAGAGGGACAAAACTGAAGAACGGTAAAAGTGGCACTACCCAAATTCGACCTTGATCTGGGTTTTGTGGTAACAAGTATTGTGTATAAGTTTCATAACATTTGGTTGAGGTAAACTTAAGTTAGAGAACGGAAACAAAAAATTCAGCAATTTTTCCATTAGTAAAGGGGCATAACTCTAGAACGGTTAAAAGGACACCACCAAAATTCCAACTTGATCTGTATTTTGTGGTAATAAGCATTGTGTATAAGTTTCATAACATTTGGTTGAAGCTAACTTAAGTTAGAGAACAGAAACGAAAAATTCAGCAATATTTCAATTTGTAAAGGGGCATAACTCTAGAACGGTTAAAGTGACGCCACCAAAATTCAAATTTGATCTGTGTTTTGTGGTTATAAGCATCGTGTATAAGTTTCATAACATTTGGTTGCAGGCAAACTAAAGTTAGAGAACGGAAACGAAAAATTCAGCAATTGTTAATTTGTAAAGCGGAATAACTCTAAAATGGTTAAAGTGATGCCACCAAAATTCAAACTTGATCTGTGTGTTTTAGTTATAAGCATTGTGATAAAGTTTCATAACATTTGGTTGAGGCAAACTAAAGTTAGAGAACGGAAACCAACTTTGGGACGTACGGATGTATGGACGGACAAGGGTAAAACTTAATGCCCCCTCCGCTACAACTTTTGGTTCAATCAGCATGTACATGATTAACATTAAAGGAAGATAACCAACAAATAAACTAAAAGTGTTTGATGTTTTAAATAAAAATTCATCACCTTATTCGAAAGACTGACAGTTTGTTCTACAAAACAAGTTCCTTCACAATTTTTCTTCCATCCCATTTAGTATAGTTCATGTAGTTATAATCATGAAAGTGTTATTATGATTTCATAATTATGTTCTCTGATACTAACACTGTAAATTCAGAAATTAAAGTGTGCGTTTAATTATTATTGCAAATCATTGATTAATGAAGGAAAATCACTACTGACAATAGGAATGGGAGTTTTGATTATTGCGAACCTGATATTATCACATTTTTGCATTAATAAAAACAACCCCATAATTTCTGTCGTTGAATACATTAACCTCTATGTCATATATGTGCTGGAGTTATAAACCAACCTGTGATACCCAGAATTTCACATCTTCAACTGTCCACACCGGAACTTGTGCTGTCAGTTTGTGCGGAAGATTCTCTCCAATAATTCTTAGAGCTTCACAAGCTAATTTTGATGTTGTAGCATTTTGACTACTAGCTAACCTTTTTAATGGACTTATAGCTCCTATTTCATAAAATATCTGAAAAAATTATTTAAAATCAATGGTTCATAATAATTAAAATTCAAAATTGGAACAATGAATTACTTATGTTACTGTGGATTAAGTATTCATGTTCTTATTGGTGGGGTAGCAAATTCTGTGGATTTCGTGATTTTAAATGTTCCACAATGTACAAATTTTCTAAGACTTTTTTCTTAAGATGAAATGATGAAATGTTTGCTTTTTATAACAGACTGATATAAAAGAAGATCCAAGTTTGACATATTCGTGACTATTTATGTTCGCCTTGTTTTTCTACTAGCTCAAGTCACTTAAATAAATAGCTCTGGAATAAAACATGTTTAAGTTGATTTACAGTACATTGTACTTAAAATGTCAAAACACCAACAATATGTTGCCCAATTTATTCCTTAAAATAACATATGAGCTGCGTCAGATAGAAATCAACCTTATGCAAATGAATAACAATACATCTGTTAACCTATTTCAAGTTGACAAAATCTCTATGCAAAGTCTGTAACTGTTTGAAAATTTAGTTGATGTAAGAACCCTACAAAACAGACCAAAATTCATCTTTTATTTCGTATTTGAATGTTCCTAAATCAATAAAAGTCTAACAATGTATACATGTACATAATATATATGTGCACTTGCATAAGGTGGATTTCTATCCGACACAGCTCATATATACATGATGTACCAACGTATAACTTACTTTTGTATTTTTCTGAAGAGATTTGATTCCTGCCTCCATTGCAAAATGAAATGCTGCTAATGCTTCAGATTCCTCCCTTTTACTGGATAATAAGGGAACCAGACGTTTCGACCATTCCTTGGATCTACCGTGACGATGAGACAGGTCCATCCTCCCAAATTCACTTGGAGAGTGACTAGCAATAAATGGAAGAACAAGATCTAGGGTACCAGATTGTAAAACAGCAGATTCAATTTCTTTATTTGCAACCAGTACAGAAATTGCTAAGCAGGCATAGTATCTTACACTATCATCATCATTAAATGCTAGAGGAAAGAGCCATTCTGGGACTTTGTGTTTTGCCATCTCTTCTTGGTTTTCAGGGCCACAATACAAAGCCATATTTGACAAACCAATTGCACAATGACGTAATGTCAGACGATCATTACTTCTACACCAATAAAGTAAAACATCTAGTCCCCCCAGGACAGTCAACTTTCTACAAATTTCTTCTGAAATTTTGAAGAGACTCTCCAATATTCCAGTACAAAACCGAGCCATATCAAACTCCCCCTTTGTATCAACAGCCATTTTAACCAGTATTTCTAGTCCATAGTGTACTACTCTCTGTCTATTTCTTGTTATTAAAATGTTTTCAAGTAATCTTCCTGAAGCTATCATCAGTTCTTTGTTTTGAGAGGCACAGTTTCCTATCAGAATGTCTAGAGCTTGTTCCTCACGAAGAGTGTCACATAAACTATGTGCTACATCCTTGGTTGGCATGACCCAAGCTTGTTCCACTAATAAACTTATGTCATGTAATGCTTGAATATGAGAATCACCAGTACATTGTTTGATGACCTCAATTTTGACCTTAAGTTGACTAGTAAGATGTTGTAGACTGGAGGACCAATCAGTATTTTCTGTTGTATGCGGATCTTCAGATTCTGAGTTTTTCAATGTGTAATTGTTTAAATCTTCATTTCCTGATAAAAATATACATTTTTCATTTCCGTTCTTAAAAAGATGATCCTGATCCATGTTGTTGACAAGACGTTGATCTGAATGTTCTGCTTGCGCCAGATCCAAGTAAACTTTAGAACATTCGGATACATTATGATGTGGTGACTCATGATCTTTCTCCGTCATTTCCTCATCATCCTCTATATCATGGAGAAGTGTTCTGGCCGATTGTGATATTTCTAGAGCTTTATATGGATCAGTTGGAAGCCCAGAGAACTTAGCCTCTGATTGAACCATTCTTACAGTCCCTTTGCCTTCGACCTTCTCCATAATGAAGATTTAATCTAAAAAATAACATACTATAAATTGAGAAATTTTTGCTTCCATTCATTATTGCGATTGTTTAATAAAGGACACAAATACAAAATTAACTATGGCCATTTAGGAAATGCTGCATCCTATTAGGAGAGTTCCAGGATAGTCGTTGGTTCAATGTGGAGATTGAAAAAGTTGTATCACGTGACAATTGTCTATGCACATGCCTATTTTCCTACACAGGGAAATCAAGTAAATGTAAATATTCCATTAGATTTCCACTTAGAGAAGTCAACTATGCTGATATAGTTTGACCCTTCACCCTGATGAAAACCTTAGCCGTGAGGCGACATCGCCCATATGTTGACATTTTCATACAGACACTTTAGTATCGATCCAAACATTGCAAATATTTTTGACGTTTTCAAATGACTTATGTGTGTAAAATAAAATTAGAAACTGTATAACAGACAATCTTGGAACTTAAGTATGCTATCAAAATTTAAAATGCAAGCTTTTATGTTTGTGAACAAAACTGTTCTGATGTAATTTTCTCAATAATAAAAAACATTGCAAAACTTTCTGAATTTACAGTAAACAAACTAGAAAACTGACAATATCAGGAAGGGCCACGTTTGCATATTTTTGTGTGAGGCACAACAAAAAATAATTATAAGTGACATAAACAAAGTAATACATTTAAAAGGGTTTCAATTTTCAAAATTTTGACACCATGAAAAAATTTGGGATATATATATGATATATGCATTTAGTAAATATCAAGTTTTGTTAAAATCCGAGCTATGATTTTTTTTATGTGTTTATAGGGCATGTAGGGCAGCCATAAATAAATGGGGAATGTGTCCATGGGACACAGATGATTCCCCCGCTTGCATATCATATCAAGTTATAAAGGGATATAACTGAAGAAAATTATATGTGACGCTACCCAAATTTGTACTTGATCTGAGTTTTGTGGTAATAAGTATTGTGTATAAGTTTCATAACATTTGGTTGAGGCAACTTAACTTAGAGAACGGAAACGAAAAAGTTCAGCGATTTTTCCATTTGTAAAGGGGCGTAACTCTTAGAACAGTTAAAGTGACACCACCAAAATTCAAAATTGATCTGTGTTTTGTAGTAATAAGCATTGTGTATAAGTTTCATTACATTTGGAAGAGGCAAAATTAAGTTAGAGAACGGAAACTGAAAATTCAGCAATTTTTCCATTTGTAAAGTGGCATAACTCTAGAACGGTTAAAGTGACGCTACCAAAATTCAAACTTGATCTATTAGGTGATACCAGTGAGCAATCTGATGATAAAAAGAAGGATGAAATACCCAAACCACCGGCACTTAAATCATCTAAACAGAAATCACAAGTCAAAAAAAAAGACAAAGAAAAAGTCACAATCTTCTAGTTCATCATCTTCATCACTGCAGCGAGAAAATCCCACACCCGAAGGTGGTCCTCAGCTGGCCCCTAACTTAAATTGTGTTCTAGTTCAGTGAAAATGGACGTCACACTAAACTCCAAAACATATAAATGAACTAAAATTAAAAAACACACTAGACTAACAAAGGCCAGAGGCTCCTGACTTGGGACAGGCGCAAAAATGCGGCGGGGTTAAACATGTTTTGTGAGATCTCAACCCTCCCCTATACCTCTAGACAATGTAGAATAAAGAAACAAATAGCAATACGCACAGTAAAACTCAGTTTAAAAGAGAAGTCCGAGTCCGATGTCAAAATAGGTAACAAAAGAAATTAAGCAAAATGACAATGATACATAAATGAACAAAGGACTACTAGCAGTTACTGACATGCCAGCTCCAGACCTCAATTAAACTGATTAAAAGATTATGTCTTCTTCATATGAAAATCAAGTACAATCCCTTCCGTTAGGGGTTTAGTATCATACCATCATAAAATATATGAGAAGAACATAACCCGTATCATGCAAACAACTGGTTTTAGAATAAATGTGTTTATTTCCGATGCAAAGACCCTATGAGTGAATCAATATAAATACCAAAATATACACTCCTTAATGACTTGACAACAGTATCGTTTGGTTAGCTTTTGAGGTGAATGCCGACATTTTTGTGCTTTGTAAAGAATATTACCATAAAATATTGGATGTGAAATACCTGAACGTATAAGATGTCTGCATGTTGATTTATATTTACGAATGATGTCCTTGTACCGATGATAAAATTTAGTAAATGTTTAGACTAGTTTGTGATATCAAAAACCCTGGTTTAATATTTTTTTTGAACCTCAGATTTACCTCAGATCTATAGGTGAACCTCAGATTTACCTCAGATCTATAGGTAAACCTCAGATTTACCTCAGATCTATAGGTAAACCTAAGCTCTATAGGTAAACCTCAGATTTACCTCAGATCTATAGGTGAACCTCAAATTTACCTCAGATCTAAAGGTAAACCTCAGATTTACCTCAGATCTATAGGTGAACCTCAGATTTACCTCAGATCTATAGGTGAACCTCAGATATACTTCAGGCAGTTTATGTCTTGAGCATCAGATCTATAGATGAACCTAAGATTTACTACAGGCAGTTTATGTCTTGAGCATCAGATCTATAGGTGAACCTCAGATTTACCTCAGGCAGTTTATGTCTTGAGCATCAGATCTATAGGTGAACCTCAGATATATACCTCAGATCTATAGGTGAACCTCAGATTTACCTCAGGCAGTTTATGTCTTGAGCATCAGATCTATAGATGAACCTTAGATTTACTTCAGGCAGTTTATGTCTTGAGCATCAGATCTGTAGGTGAACCTCAGATTTACCTCAGGCAGTTTATGTCTTGAGCATCAGATCTATAGGTGAATCTCAGATTTACCTCAGGCAGTTTATGTCTTGAGCATCAGATCTATAGATGAACCTCATATTTACCTCAGGCAGTTTATGTCTTGAGCATCAGATCTATAGGCATGATAGCTATAGGTGAACCTCAGATTTACCTCAGGCAGTTTATGTCTTGAGCATCAGATCTATAGATTAACCTCAAATTTACCTCAGGCAGTTTATGTCTTGAGCATCAGATCTATAGGTGAACCTCATATTTACCTCAGACAGTTTATGTCTTAAGCATCAGATCTATAGGTGAACTTCAGATTTACCTCAGGCAGTTTATGTCTTGAGCATCAGATCTATAGATGAACCTCAGATTTACCTCAGGCAGTTTATGTCTTGAGCATCAGATCTATAGGCATGATAGGTGAACCTCAGATCTACCTCAGGCAGTTTATGTCTTGAGCATCAGATCTATAGATAAACCTCAGATTTACCTCAGGCAGTTTATGTCTTTAGCATCAGATCTATAGGTGAACCTCAGATTTACCTCAGGCAGTGTATGTCTAGAGCATCAAATCTATAGATGAACCTCAGATTTACCTCAGGCAGTTTATGTCTTGAGCATCAAATCTATAGATGAACCTCAGATTTACCTCAGGCAGTATATGTCTTGAGCATCAGATCTATAGATGAACCTCAGAGTTTATGTCTTGAGCATAAGTGATGAAGGTTTTTCAGCGCATCCTCATTTGATAAATCGTCACACATAATGAGAGGAAGATCCCTTTTAATTTTAAGGTCAATTCTGCAAAGATCAAGGTCAAAGTTACTAAAAACTAAAACACTATTTGTGCAGGAAAGTGGTTTCTGGATGCTTAAAGACTTGTATGGGAATGGAAACTTAGATATATGGTCTCATTTAATGAATAGATCTTATTGACTTAAAGGTTAAGGCCATAGTTACAAAAAATGAAGCCAAAAAGAGGTTTATAGAAAACATGCTAAATCAAATACAATGTATGGGATTGAAAGCTTACTACGAAGTATAGTTAAAAAAATTGTGAGCCTTCACACTATAGGTTCTTCATTTATCCAAGTAGAAAATACACCTTTGAAATAGACTTGTACACATGAATGTAACCATTTTGATTTGAACAGGAAATGGATACATCATCTAAAGACAAAACAGAAAGCAAAAAAGGGACAACAAAGTCTGAATTTACTGTATCAAGGCATTAAAAAGATTTATAAAATGTTGAACTAATGTTATAGAATGAGAACACTGACAATAATGGGAAGTAACTCTTATTAAACCGAATGAATGGTTCTAGGGAATAAAAGTAGGAAAAGATGTATACAGTTGTTAAAATTTTCTTTTCGCAGCTGATAAAAAACTTCCTGGTGCAGAGAAGAGGAGTGAAAAATTATGTGAAATATGGGAATCCTAATTTTAATGGTAAGTGGTACATTACAAGGTTTAACATACTGATTTTATTTTTATGTCTTGTCTCCTCACCCTGGAGTTTGTAATTATCTGTTTGAAAAAAAAAATTATGAGTGGACTTTGTTGCGTAATGCTTAAATATAAAATCATTGATTGACTTTTATCCACAGATTAATCCATTTCACTTTTAAAATGAAAACAACAAGTTAAATAATTTCATGCGTCCTTTGCGCTTTTTCAGGATTTACCTTCATCAGGAACGCTCAAAGCCAAACATTTGAAAGCCAAGGATGTATAAGTACACATGTACTGAAACAGTTGAAGAGTTTTATGACAAAAAATACCCCAATAAATAGCCAAATCCATCTTAGGTCATTTTTGCCTTTAAATTGGTTAAGTTTTTATCAACTTAGTAATGATGTGTTTGTACTTTGATGTTTTATCATCAACACTTACAATATAAAAAAAAATCTTGTGTCCCTTTTTCTTTAAACATTGAAATATCTGTCCTGATGATAACACAGTGTCTTATTTCCTTTTAACATAATGAATCATTTTCCACTACAGACCAGTAGGAAAAATTTAAAACTGCATTTGGTACCTTCAATTCCCCAACTGATGATCCCAATTGTGTAAACACAATACTGGTATTTCTTTTCTATTGTAACACTTGAAAAAGTGCTCAAAATAAACATTTTATTATGCCCCCGCTGCAGCAGAGGATGCATTAAGTTTTACCCTTGTCCGTCTGTACGTACGTAC